AACTCCTCTGCGGAGAAGACGGGCAACGAGGGGGGATAACTGATTAAAGCGGCGAGTGAAAAGCGACTAAGAAAAAGTGGTACCGGGAGAGGCGGAGATAGGAGAACCGTGGAACCTATCGATAATCCAGCCTCGGGTAAATAATTACCATGAATCTTGCTTCGCTAGAGATATGGGACGGCCTAAGCAAACGACTGACCTTGTTTACGATAAGTTACCCGGTCTATCCGAGAAAGCGCGCAACGATTCGTCGTGACTAGAGACTAACGTTTTCCCTCCATTCTTCTTAACGCATCTCCCAATTTCTCTCTCGCCGTTTCGCCTGCCATTTTCACCCCGTCCGGCTCCTTTGCCCCGCTTTCCTGTCTCGCTCGTTCGTTTTGTCCCCTCTTGCTCGCCATTCCGCCTCGCACCTGCACGTTTATGTGCGTTCACGGGTATACGACTTCCTGTTGAGATATCTCTCTGTTCATCGCCGGGTATTACGTAATAAGTCACGAAGATAACCCGGCTGGAGGTTATATCGATATCGAGAGAGAACGAGAGGGAGATAGGAACGCGTGGTAACTAAATGAAAAATTCCTTATCACGGGGCTACGCCGATATCGAGGTCGTTTATTGCCGTCGTCGGTATCGATTCCCCGTATCGAATTATCGGCGTAACAATTAAAGTACAATGAGCAATATTCGGCCATCGTTCCTCCCGCAACGCTGGAAAACAAGAAACACGAAGAACGCGAGATACCGCGGAGGAAAAAGGAAGAAACGGGGAGAGATAATCGGAGGAACCGAGAAAACATAACGAATGCTTCCTCTGGTGAAATACGCTCGGTAAACAGCTGATACCGACAAACGAACGAAACACGTTGCGAGCCTCGGTTATTTATCGAGCGACGAGCGACAAACAAATTTCGCAAGAAAATTCGAAACGCAGCGCCGAAAGGGCGGATCCGATCGAATATCCTGCCCACTTCCGATTCGTCTGCGGAAATATTCCCGGGATAATATTGCCACAGGTATTTCCGAGGAAGCGGCTGGTTATTTACGCGAAGGCTTACAAACCGAGCGCGGACGACGCGGCTGGCGGAGGATTTGCATGAGAAATTTCGTTATTTCTACCCTACCCCGAGTTTCCTGCATTTCTCCCGACCGTTGCAGCTTCCTTTCGTTGCGTTTCGTTTCCAATTTCCACCTTCCACCTCCTTTCGGAGGAGCCTCTTCGTACTCGCGGCACGTAAGCGTACGTCTAATTAACAGGGTTCGTTTCCAATAACCCCGGGGGTAAACGCTCGACGCGTTAACGCCTGGGCGCGAAGGAGAAGAGAAGAAAGGGAAGAAAGAGAAGAAAGAAAAGAAAGAACCAAAGCAAACGATATTATACTCGAACCGGACGTGCGTCGAGAGCCTTTCCGCTCGCGCCGGCACGAGCGAGCGCAGCGTGTCCGCGACGCGCGTCATTCGCGACGCGCGTGGACGTATTCCAAGCCGTCAGCGACGAATAGCGATGGCGCAATTGAAAAACGTACAGCAGGAAGTCAGCGACCCCGATCAACCTATACGTGACCCGAGTGAAACGGCGTTTTAACGCAATTAACCGAATTCGAAGATTCGCGTGGCGCGTGATCGTAATACGATTTCCGAACAGCGAGGAACATCGAGTTTCAATGGAAATACCGCTCGCGACCCGAGCCGGGACCGTAGCCGTGGAAAAAAGAAAACGGCAAGAAAGGGGATTCAATTAGATCCTTAATGGAGCTTGTATACGAGACACTTGCAGCCACTTGCGGTCGCTGGACCGAGTTACGACTCGCGATGACCCGACCAGGATTCCCCTCAGCATCCCGCTTCTCCGCTCCTCTCCGCCGACACCCGTCCGCTGGCTCTTTCTCTTGCCAAACTTTGGGCATCTCTCCAAGATACCGCAGAAATCGCATACCATGTTAGAAATTCAGGGCGGTTTGAACTTGGCTCGATGCGGCACCAGCTGAATTCCGCTGCACAAGCACGTGAGATTGGGCAACTCCGCGCGAGCGATCCGGAATTCCCGATTTTTCCGATCTCCACCTTCGATCCGCTTCTAGCCGCTCCGCGATCGTCGTCGTTGAGGGATAAGCGGTCGCGAGATGCCGGAAGAGCCGATATCGATTATAGGCAGCGAAGGAACTAGGATTCTCGGGGCCTTTATCGCGGTCTCGCATGCTGTCCGAGCTTGGCTGGTAATTACGAGATGACCGGCAGTGAAAAAGCGGACGAGACTGAGAAAGGAGGAAGGAGCAGAAAAGACGTGTCTTACCATCAGCCTCGTACTCGCGAGGCGGGTGTTCGCGTCTGGCGTCAGACCGCGGATCGACGAGGGTTATAATTATCGCTAGCGTATCGGGACGAGTTGGCGAGAAGCTGTGTACGTGCACAGGTCGATCGCAGGACGTCCGTGGAGTCGGTTGTAAATCGTGGATCACCGATACGGGACGCGGGTAATCCGAACCGGGAGATCATACGTCGGATAACCTTTCGGTGCAACATTTTACGCAAGACGGTGCAGTGAGCCACGGCGCGTGTACGTTGCTACAAAGTCGTAAATATCATCGTGCTTGCACGACGCAGCGCGCGTGCGTCAGCGCGATCGGCCGGTCGCAAATATCGTTAAGCAGCTGAACTTTATAACGCCGGTTATTTGCATATCCGAACTGTGTGGCGCACGGTGCATACGGCACTTGCGTAACGTGCGAACGCGCTCGTTCACCGACGCACGTTCCGTGAAACGCGGAAGGAGAGCAGCTTCTCGTTACGATCGCGCGAAATCGTTTAAGGGACGTGCACCGACAGAGTAACGCGATTAACGCGTATACGCCGACTTCGCGAAAGGTGAAGGTCACCCCTGGGAGTCCCGCGGAGTCACCAAGGTCTGGTAATTAGCGGTCAAGAACGCGCCAGGCTCGTGTAGGATCATCGGGATCGCGTGGTCGATGCCCGAGGTCGTTTAAAGGTCGCCTGGTTCATCGAGGTTGCGTCATCCGCGGCCAAAGTCGTTTGAAAGTCGCGAAAGGTCGGGGATATTGCGCTCAAGGTCGTTCCAAGGTTACGCGGGGTCATCGAGATCGTGTCGTTGAACTTCGTGGTTATTTGAAGGTCGTACTGAGACATCGAGGTCGTATTATTCGCGCTAAGGGTCGCTCGAAGGTCATTTTGAGTCATCGAGGTCGTGTCATTGGTGCCCAAGATCACTTAACGCCGTCAAAATCACGTTATAGGCGCTCAAGGTCATTCGAAGGTCGCGAGGGGTGAACGCGATCGTGTCATTGATTGTCAAAGTCATTCGAAGGTCATGCGAAAATAAGAGAGCAGGTGGTATATAGTTGACCGAGTACATCGAAGTGAATTTCGATAGTGAAAATTGTAAAAAAAATCGGTAAGCGTTGGGAAAGTAAGAAAAATAAATTTAGAATCGTCGCTACCAGAATAACACCGAAATTAAAAATAAAAAATAGAAATTTCATCTGTAATTACGTCGAAATAATGCTTAAAGTAAGAACCTTTATTTCGTACTTACCTGTTGTTCAATTTTAATTCTCCTCCGATGACAATTGCACGAAACGTCGATAACGAAAAATGGCACGAAGTAAAAATTCACTTGTACGCGAAATACCGTGAGAAAAACGTTTTCTAACGTCACACAACGAAGAACTGCACATTCGATGGAACTGATGAAAAGTCAGTGAAAAATATCGATATATACACGTATTCACGTATAAATATAAATATACAGCTTCATGAATCACTACACGTTGCAGAAAAATATTTCGTAGAGGGGGTAAATTACTTTACACGCATAATAAATGTATTTTATCAGATGTATGAAAAGTTATTCGTCATTGAAAATACGTGCAAGCTACGCCATTCATTCACCTGTCCCCTTCCCGTGGTATCGTATATTATGAAAATACATTTGTATTATCAGAGGTTATATAGCTCGAGTATTATACTTCGTATTATCTAATCGCGTAGGATATCGTCGAAAAAGAATGTTTAACAAGGTAGGAAGATTAATTTAATTAGATCTTAGACGAAATGCAATTAGATAACGGTAAAAATATCTAGAAAAACAATTGTGATCATTTAACGCGTATTTAATTTTGCAATTTATTCCGCTAACTGAATTTAATTGGCGCGACAATTTGCACGTTAACGAATGCTCGCGCCCAGCGCCATCTACCGTTTACCGCGGGAAGCATTTCGAATAATTTTTAAACCGCAACGTACGAACAAAAAATCGTTAAAAATGTCGAAACCGGTATTCAAAATGCATTTAAAAATCAAAAAAGAGATTGTATTAGGAAAACGAAGAGTAAAAAAGATAATCGATATAAATTAAATTATGAACATAAAAAGATGAATAAATTTAATAATCGCGCACTCGTTGATAATTTAACGTAATCGTAGATATTTTCGTATCACGTTCTTAAAATTAATTGCGTCAACTACCTAGGCTTTGTCGATAAAGCAGATTCCTTTAACCGCCATGGTACAAAGAATCGTGGTTTAAGCGACAAGAGTACCTAATTGTTCTTAATTAGACTAAATTGAAGGTTACCAGGGGACAAGTAAACGTGAACCAATCCATGGCATCGTCCTCTTCTCAACCAATCGTGAGACTCGTTTTTACCGACAACTACCAATCGTAAGGCAAAACTTATCGACGCTACCAGCGCCAATTCGGTGCCCTAGATTAAACCGAGCATAATCGTTTTGTTTTTCTTACCCTAATATTTCGTATGGAAATTTCGTTAAAACCTCGCGAAAACTAGACATTAACCATTCCCTCGTACAAATTCGTTTTGCAAATAAAAGTGATCAAACATTTCATACATCTGACGTTACCGATCAATCGGTGCGTTGGTAATTACGAAAATTTCGTTGCAGCGCTACAAAAATAACAGTAGTCACGCAAGATATACGAGATAAACGAAACGATGGAAAAAATATATTCCAAAAGTACTTACCTCGGACGTAGGGACGAAGGCACTAGGTCCATCGAAGGCTGGCACCGGTACTGGTAGTCCTCTATCCTGTAATAAATAATTTAGTAATTTAAAATCTTATTCCTGGGTAAGCTTTCGAATTACCGTGAGTCAGAGATAACCTACAACTCGCTTAGCTCGGTCGGTAGAGCATGAAACTCTGACTCTCAGGGTCGTGGGTTCGAATCCCCATGTAGAGACGAGGTTTTTTCTTACAGATTTAAAAAAAGAAACATACTCAACCGAAACACCTAATTACATTTTGTAAAAAAAAAATGCATAATCGAATCGATATATAAAATTTCAGAAACATTACCACGTTACTATAGTCGGATAAAAAAGATATATCATGCGCCGACGTTTCGCGTAGCTAAAACTTTGTTTTATAACCATTACATATTTCACGTGAGTCATACGGGAACTATCGATTAGGCTTTACATAGTAGGCTCGCTTATACATCGATTATAAAAACGACTTCCAAAAAGGAAAGAATAGAAATAGCATAAGCGAGCTGATAAAAATTTCCGCGGCATAAAGCAAAGACCGGTCGTGTATCCCCGCTTCGGATATGTTTAACCCCATGCAACGGGCAAGTCAAAATGGCTGACATATTTTTAGGCCACGGTTCGACGCTGCTCCATAAATAGACGGTTAAAACAACTCCATTAACGCAAGGTATCGCTTCTTTCCGATGCAAGAAGAGTAGCATCGGCAAAGTTCGCGTAAAAGCGGACTATTTTCGATGCGGAGGAAAATAAGAATAACCCTTTCTTAAAACGAGGCGTCCATAGCGGAGGTTTATTTACGAGCGGCTGTAGAAAAACGTAATGCTATTGCACGGTTTACCGTTTCTAAACGATTACGCTGAAACGTTGGGCTAAGTGGCCGTAAAACGAGTGACTCAGTGGACGAAGAAATATTCCGGGTATCGGATACAACGGAAATATATCTAGGCTGTTTAATTTTCCCGCGAATTGGACTAATTTCACCGTTTGAAAAATTCACCAGCGACGAGTACGAAGTATGAAAGTATCGAACCGGAAGGCAAGCAAGCGAGCAACCACGGATTACAGCCGGTTACCGAGCTATGCAGGTAATTAAAGATTTAATACACGCTCACCTTAACCATCTCCAGGATCTCTGCGCACTTGGTCCTAACATTCTGGAAGGGACAGTTGACGCTGAGCCTCAATATCACCGGTAGATGCAACGTCACCATGCTCAAGTACTTATTCGCCTGCCTCGGACCATCCAGAGCGTTTCCCAGATTAAGCATCCTACCAACGTCCCCGGGAGTGACGTCAGGACTCTCGAGCACCCTGCCGCTCTTCGAAGAGACATCTTCGTCCTGCGAGAGCGGTCTCTTGATCTGTCCCGCGCTGAACTTTCGCTCCTCGTTCTTACGCAAGTAATCCTGTGGCAACTCGGCACGCGTGCAGCGCTGTCGGCAATCGTCGAAAGACTCGTCCGGGTAGATCTCGAAATTCTTCAGCTTGGCATCCTCCTTGCGGTTGTCGTCCTGCCTCAGATAAATCTCGTTCGCGTTCTCGTTCTCGAAGCCGTCCAGAGTGTTGAACACCACTCCGTCGCGGTTCCTGATCGTCATCTCGGTCTCGTCGAACGACACATCGTCCACGCTGTCGTAACACCTGCGATCGCGCGACAGGATGTCACCCTTGGGGCGGTAGTTGAGATTCCTGCGGTCGAAATTCGCGCCCAAGTTCTCGTCGAACTTGGGACTCTTCCCGTAGATCCTGATGTCGCAGTCCAGCTCGTCATCCTCCAGCTGCTTCTGCTTCGCGCCTTTCACCTTCACGTAGTTCTTCGTTCTAGGCCTATCCTCCAGACATACCTCGTTCAATCTCTCGCTGGACGACGAGCCGAGATATTTTCTCTCGCTCTCGCTGCTCGACCCGAATCGGCTCTCCGAGTTGTCCTTAAACCTTAGACATCTGTCCTGAGGATCGATCTTGAAGCCCTTGCCTTCGTCCGAAGACGTCGAGTGGCCGGACCTGTAACTCTCCACGTCGGTCACGTATCTTCTCCTCTCGTTCGGCGTACCATAGCCGGTCTCGTTCCCGAGACGTCCGTCCACGCAGTCGAACGAGCCCGATGGATATCTCTCGGAACATTCGAGGCTGTTGTCCTCGAGGAAAGCTGGATTCTCCGTCACGCTCTGAGGGAAGAAACCCTCCGTCCTGAAGCTGTCTTGGAGCAGCAGCGGCTGCTGCATAGAGGGCTGCACGTTCTTCGGCGCCGACTTGGTCGGTGATCGCTCGATGTTCATGTCGTATCTTCGCGTGAAAGGTAACGAAGTTTCTATTAGCGCACCGCCAGGCTTAGACATAGCACGTCGGGGAAAAAATTCGTACGGAAGTGAATGGAAAATATTCGCGCGTTATTCGCCGACCGAGTAGGTGACTCGCGAGTTTTCTCTGACCGTTTAATGAATCTGACCGATCGTTACATCGCTGGAATAAATCTTTACGCCGTGGCTTCGGAGAAACCGCGCGCTATCATCGGCAAACAATTTCCAATTCACCCAAGCTATCGCGGCAAGATTCGCGTGAAAATCAGCGGAAAATTAGCGGAAAATCAACGATGTATTCGAAATTCTAACGCCAGAACGTTCCTACGGTCAACGATACTATGCGTTACCGTGCACAGAAGCGAAAGATATCCACGATATCCAGGAACATTGTCGATATCGACACGCGCGGTTTTATCGAAGCGTATCAGTGCGAGGCGAGTCACACACACCGGGCGCGCGACACTCACCTTCCATCTTGGCTCTTGAACTTTCCCCCTAGGTTCTCCGAATCCTCCATTTCACCGGTGTCGTCCCAGTGATTCGGACTGCCAACCCCTCCGAGCCATCCCTCGACCGTGTTCCTGGCCACCGCCAGGGCGATGTTTCTGGCAGTTTCATCTCTCGCACACAAAGGCGCTAAAAATCTGCTAACGATCTCGACGTCGTCGTCCTTTGTGGAGGTGCCGCTTCCCGAGGAACTGTTCGGATCTCTGTACATCTCGTCTTACTTTCCCTCGTTGATTCTACGCGTGTGTATGTGCGTGTACGCGCGTGTCCACGCGTTTCCCTCTGCCTACTCGAATTCTCTCTTCTCTCTCTCTGTTCGCGCGCGACTCTCGGCGCACGTATGTCGGTGCAACGTCGATTCGAGCTGTGCACGAGTCCCTCTCGTCGCGATCTCCACGAGAAAGGAAAATCGTCGGGTATTTAATTTAATCTAATCTAATCTGCTTATGATAGGGGTGACCCGGCGTCGAGTAGCTTCCCTCGGATGGCCACCGGCGTTCTCGTCAACCCTCCTCTCGTCGATAGCGTCCTCGCGTTACGAGTTTCCGCGATAAAGGGCGCGCGGCAAAGCTGCAAACAGGAACACCTTCGCGATCAGTTCGAAAATGCTTCGCGAGTGAAGATCGCCACGCGAATTCGCCTACTCGCGGCCGTTTACGAACGGGAAATCTAGCTCGACTCTCGGGTTAAGCGAACGATCGATCCGTTTACGGTCAATCGATTATCGTCGTCCGTATTCTGGTTCTCGGATAGGTTCTCGGATAGGTTCTCGGATAGGACCGGCCGCGTGTACAGCCGGTGAACAAAGGAAACGGAGAAAGAAAGAAAGAAAGAAAGAAAGAAAGAAAGAAAGAAAGAAAGAAAGAAAGAAGGAAGGAAAAGAAGTGGAAGGAGAGGCTGACGGTACTATCCACGGGTAATTACGGTCGTTTCGTCGCGTTTCGTTGTGAGAATCGGTCGTAAAACTCGTTTCTCGAGGATTTTACCGGCGGTGCACCTCGGGAGTCGTTTCAGGGCGATAGAAAGTAGGCGGTGTCGACTGTCGAGCGATCGTGTGGCGATCTAGCACCGTCGAGGTTCGTTCCGAGGAAGAAGAAAGAAAAAGAAAGCCAGGTGATCCTGGCTAGCGCACCTTCGAAAGCAAACGATCGATCGGGCGCTTCTTTTAAGGAACCGATCGATCGCGTCGCCTTTCCTTCGCCGATTCTCCTTTTCCTTTCTTCTCTCTCTCTTTTTCTCTCTTTCTCTCTTTCTCTCTCTCTTTCTCTCGCTCGCTCGCTCTCTCTCTCCCTCTCTTTTTCTCTTTCTTTTCACACGTGCGTGTCGCGGTTATCTGAACGGGGCAACGATGTTACATTGTCCATTACATCGTTACGAACGACCTCTATCGCTGGGACGTCTTCGGGATTGCGATCGGTACGAACTGTCCTCGATTCCGCCTGTTCACCGACGTTGCGACGTTAATCCATTGGAAAGTCGGATAAAGTCTGAAAGAAAGGAAAACGACGGTTAAAAGACATCTGGACAACGAAGGGCGCGAAACTCGAAGGAGCGGAACGAACGCGAACGAAGGTAACGCGAAGGCAAACGAATCGGAACAACGGACGCTTTTCTCGATATCGATTTCACGGTGGACGCTTATCGAATTTCAATTCGCCCGGACGGCTTAATCGTCATCGATCGACTTAATATCCATCCGAGGCAAAGGTAACGCGCTCGCAACGTAAACGAAAGCTAATAGGGAAGCACTTCTCCTCGCGGCCGCGGAGCTGCGAGCAGATTATCGACGATCGAACCATTACGCAACGAACAATTGAAAGCCGATAACCCTAGCGGAGTTCTGAACTTCAACCGCGTAATCAGCGTCGCATTGTACCGGTTAATTCCTGTTCCAATCGTTTGTTAACGTTCGAACGCGATTCGACCTCTCTCTCCCTCTGTCTCTCTCGCTATCTGTCCATCCGTACACGCGTACCAACGGTCCCATCGATCGGACATCGCCGTGGCGATCGATGCCCAACCTTGCCGGGAAGCGACTTCATCGGCATGAAAATTTCATAGAGCATTTGGCCCGGAAATGAGGACCTGGAAATACCCTGAACGAACCGCTATCGGGCCATTTACGCAATTAGTCGATGTCAGGCAGCGCCAGTCTTCTCATTGATTGATCGACCCCCACGGGAGAAGGCCTAGGTCAAGGCTACCGGGGTCAGGAAATAAGAGAGGTCGCGTGAACGCTGCAACTTATCGAGAAGGGGAGAGACCGAGGGAACCGGTGTCGCGGAGAGGATAAAAAGGGGTGCATTCGCGCTCTCGACAGAAGAAAGTCGACGTCGATTTCTCCGCATTACGGCCGGGATTGGAACACACCATTCGAGGTGGAGTGGCTCGATATCGAAAAACGTCCGTCCGACGATAAACCTGTTCCTCCGCCGTTGGTAGTTGTCTGCTGGGTAATTTCTTTAATAACCGATAGAGATAATGGCCGGAGCACACCCCTGCTAGCGTGGACCGCGCACTCGCGGCCTACCGATCGAGAACACGGGTAATTACGGGTGTTCGCGTCACGGTGACTCGGATAAAGTACATTGTAAAGAAGCGCGAATAAGTCGCGAAGCGGGACGAGGAGATCGCGGCGTAAGGTCGAGGTATAACAACCGTGGTCGGCCGTTAATCGATGGACGCTGGATCGAGGAATAACAAACAGGTGAACGGCGAAACAAGAGCAAAGAGGCGGCGGAGGAGGTGGAGAAAAAAGGAGGAAAAGGATTAATCGCGCAACGGCTGGCGATAATAAGGCCGAGCAACAAATACACCAGGGCCGAGGCGCGATGCAACAGTGTAGTTGGAAGCGGTTTCTAAGCAGATAAGATGCGTTCCACTTTGCACAAAGCGGAATTGCGTAAATCCTCGCGTTCAGCCGCGGCATTAAGCGAGTAATAAAAAGCTCCCACCGCAAAGAATTCGATCCCACGCACCGAAACGCGCCCGTAACGCGCGTTTTCCTATTGCGTAAAGCACGCAGAACGTCTGTGGCGGATCGTTTCTCGGTACACGTCTCGGTAATTCCCCGCTGAAATTCCCTCCATCCGTACAATGCCCATTTTTCTTTCCTCCCCCGTTTTTCTCCCGTTTTCCCTCTTTTCCGCCGTTTCCTCGTCTCGTCCTTTCGGAGATAGCGCCAGTCGAGAGCCTTTTTCGCGGACCATCGATCGCGCCACTCGATACGCGAAACAACGGCCGCCATTCATCCTCCGCTTGTTCCCCATTTTTAATATTCCACGCGCCCTTTCTCCTTCCCCCGTAGATCGATGCCCATTTTTTGGAGAACCCGCGCGGTATGGCTGAACGAAATTCGTGCGAAAAATTCCATACGAAAAACGGGAAAAAGAAATCGAAAGGAGAAAAAATGGCAAAGAAAGAGAAGAAAGAGAAGAAAGAGAAGGAGAGAGAAAGAGAGAAGGATTCGCATACTCGTAGCACGCACGACGCATCGCGATGGCATAACGGCGAGGTTTATCGGGCGTGGAAACGAAAGAGGCAGGGAAGGCAAAAGGAAAGCGTGGAAGAAAGGGCACAAAACGGCGTTTCAGCGTTTCTAGCGTTTCTTCGCGGCGATCTCCAGAACGATCTAAATATTTATAATTCCCCAAAGCCTAACTCTTCCCCGTTCGCACCGCTATGAATTATTAATGTCGCGCCTCGCTACCGTATGCCGGTGCACGTTGCTATGCATTCCCGATACGTGTACTTTGTCTTCGAGATATAAGGATGGTCAGGGCCTCGCGGATGTACGAGGCGATAAAATGGTCGTCTCACGTGCCGGCGGCCATTAGAATTTAATGAAATCGGGATAAATCAAAGCGTTCGGTTTCGTCGCGGGTCCGCCATCCAAAGGCGTCGTTTTCTCCACGTCCAGCATCTTTCTTCCAATTCGCAAACACCTCGATAATATTTTTTATTAACCATATTTATTATCGTCTTCGTCACGTATAGTTACCGAGCGTTGTAAAGAATTATCGCGGGTGACCGTGTGGCGGGTCGTTAAAACGATTGCTGTTTGCGGATCGCGATAGAAAATGTAATTTCTCCGATCGCGTATTTAAAAATGGCCGTCCGGTATCGCAATTTTCCACAGGATCGCGTTACGCTCCATCACGAGCCCCGATCTTACCTATCTGCCTCGGGATCTGTCGCGATAACGAAATTCGCGAACCGCGTTCGATCGTCGGCATTCGGACGGATACGAAATAAAATTTCCCAGAAAAGAAAATTTTGGTGAAATCGGCGATCGCGTGATCGAGCCTGGACGACTCTCGTTCGACACGATCCTCGATCACAGAAGAACGTACCGCTCGCGTCGGATTGTGGGAAAGCAACGGGCGCCGATCACCGATTCACCTGGAATATTCCTCGGAGCAGGCCTCGGCTCGCGTAAATAAGTTACGGCGTAATGGGTTTCTCGTATTAACGAGACTCGGCGTCGCTCGAAACCGACGAGCGAGCGAGCCAGCCAGCCACGCCGCATCCTATCGGCGATACTATCTGATTTCCTTGTTACGTAATTTAACGTGTTCTGGATAGAATCGTAATAGCCGAGCACACGGTCAAAGGAGCAGCGTTCTTTTCGTCGGCAGTTCCTCGCGGTATAACAAACACGTATCCAGCCGGGAGAGCCGGTTGCCCGATGCATCGCTGAATTTACGGCAGCCGAGCCGGTTTATGGCCGCTTTAAAGCCGAGACTAGAGGAAATCGTTAGCCCCGGCAGTGTTCCTGAAATCGGCCGACGTGTGTTCTCCTACGACCGAACCCCCGGCCCCGACGGCGCTCACCTGTGGATACCAAAGCGAGGGCCGCGTCACGGTGTGTCCGTAGGATCGATTCGACGATAACGGTGCACGACAAAAAGCTTGCTAAACGCGAGGCGTTGTTACGCTCGCTCGCCACCGTGCTTAACGCAAATTGCAAAAGCGCCGAGTCGGCGTTACGACCTTGCGACACGCGAGACACCCGCGATAACGGCCGACTCGGTTGCTACACCGACCGAGTGTCGTCGAGAACCCTTTTCCACGACTGGATCGATCTCTTTCTCTCTCTTCTTTCTCTCCTTTTCTCTCTCCTTTTCTCTCTCTCCCTCTCTCTCTCTCGCTCTCTATCCACGATGATTCGTCGATCGACCGTTCGATCACGTGATGCGGAGGACCGTTATCGCCATGCTCGATTATTGCCACGGGATTGACGATCGCGTATTAATTTCTTATCCGATTCGATCGAACGATTTCCGCGTAACGATACGATCCCAGAGGGTCAGGCACGATGCGAGCTGACACTGTCGGCTACGCGGGTGAAGCGAATCGAAAGCGACCACCGTATACCTGCCATCGGACCCCCTCGTAGATCGACGCGGATCACTGACCGATTCGCGAGGGATAACCCGGATGGTACCGATGATAACGTCGTTCGGTGGGCCAAGTGAGTCGATGACGACGCGTCCACGAGACTTTACATGTACGAAGATATGTCCGACACTGAGCCATCTACCAGCAACCGAGTCTTAACACGTTGACGACCGGGTATTTGATCTCCATCCTTTCACGTAGGACCCGGCATATAATTATGCTGCGACGGCAGTAATGAAGATTGGACGTGCCTTGCCGTCCTTCTCGAGGATTAAGAATTATAACCTCTCAGAGACACCAAACTGACGACTAGACGACTACACAAGACAGACGTTGATCAGAACTCGAAGACATCACGTCCGAAGCAGAACACATCAGAAGACGAAGTCGATATACCAGAAACACACATATACGTCACTTATTCGAATCATCACCGGTGTAATAAAGTGTTGTAAATTAACTATAGTCATGCAACGATGGTGACAGGCCTGCTAGAGGTTGCAGGTCAATACCGACCTTTGCACTTCAAGGACCTTCGATACTATGCAGGTATCAAGGGGTCGACTTTTGGGTTTAAAAGGCCCCGCTGTTTCTCGCAGCAGGCAGTCTCTAATCCAGAACAGTGTAGAACGTTTTTAACCCTTTGCGCTCGACGACTTTTTGGCTAAAGAAGGGTACGAGTTGAAAAATTTTCTGCTACAAGGCTGACGATATTTTCTGAGCGGTAAATAAGAAATCGTATAATAATTAATACGCAGAATTATTTTGTTACATTATTTTAAATTTGATGTATGAATTAATATCGAGCTTCGAAATTTTAACAAATGGCGACCGAAGGGCGCCTCTCGAGTGCAAAGGGTTAAAGTATCGTGACCCATAGGGGCGTGTTTAAAGCTCTTGCTTTTTATATTCGCATAAATGCATATATTTCACCTGTATTAACCCTTTACAGAAAAATAGTAATTCGAAGACTTTCTGCCATAAAGTCCACGATATTTTTAAAACGATAAATAAAAAGTCGTGAGCAAATTAAGGCGTAGAATTATTTTATTTCGATATTCCACGCA